GATATTTAAAGAACATCATACTGTTCAAGTTATCCGTATAACGTAACCGACCTAAATCGCTATAAATTGCGCGTGGCCGATTTCTCTTCCAGAAGAACGGTGGAAAAACTCGCGTGGAGCTATTGCCTTTGCGGAAACGCAAAAAATTGGAGCACAGATGCATAAAAATGCATCCGTATGTGTGAATATGCGCCTGCATCTAAGTACGTCTCGATGTGCGAAAGACCGTGAATGATACACGCAATTAGCGTTTTTTTTAGAGAAAATTCTTCTCCTTGAAAATAATCTTCAAAAATGAGATAAATTTTTTCACACAATAATACATCTCTCGTAAACCCAAGTTAACGAACGTAATTTCTCGGCACATTTTAATCTAAAAATAGATTACGCGAACGCAAATTCTAGCTTATACCGTGAAAACTTTGCTTCGTTTTAAACATTTTAATTAACATAAACACCGAGACTATTCAATGTAATTAGACGGATATAAAATTAAAGGAATCGGTTATAAATTTTCAATTAAATTCAAATTAAACGGAAAAATACTTTAATTTACATTTTCGATAAATTCGATTCAATTTGAAAAGTCCGCTCGAAATTGAAAAGTTCGATACGTTATGCTACGAAAAAAATAGGAGACGGAGAGAAATGTCAAAGGAATCGAATCGTGTCCACAATATACTTCCAAATAATAATGTAACGAAACACAGTCTGTACAGAGTTGAAAGAAATCAAGAATATTGCAAGTCATATGCCCTCAGCGTAGAATCCGTTTAGAGAACCCCGAGATTAATCCTCGAGAATTAACATAAACTTGGCGAGGAGCTCTGCGTAAAAGCGAATGATGCGCATAATGCGTTAGACGTGAACAATGGGCAGCGGGCGTGTCTCTCTTGGTACATGTACACATACATATTGTATATACAATGTCACCGATCCTCGTCATCCCTATTGCCATCACCACCTATATAACCATCCTTCCCTCTCTCTCTCTCTCTTATTTTGTTTCACCTTCTCCTGTCATCTCATTCTATCTGTTCATCCACGCATCACTCTCCTCTCCTCTTTCTGCTTTCTGTGCGTGTGTTTTTCGCTTTTTTTACTTTGAAAGCGGAATATACATTCTACTGCGTGGTCGCGGAACAGGAAACGCCATGGGAGAATGAGCAATCGGTATTTCACGACTGTGTGTCGCACACGAGCGAGTACCACCGCAAAAAGAGAGAGAGAGAGAGAGAGAGAGAGAGAGAGAGAGAGAGAGAGAGAGAGAGAGAGAGAGCGCGCGCGTTGTGTGTTATGTATAACGAGAAACTACGGGACCGCAGGAACGGCTTCAATCACGGGAATGCACTTGAAATTCGCTCGCCTCTACCTCCGACCCTATGTCGCCGCGCGAATCTCTCGCACGTACGCGCACAAATTGTTATCCGCTCTTTTTGCGATCCGGAAAAACGCGCCGTTTACACGGATTCTCGCGCGCAAATTCTCGACTAAATTATCGGACTTGAAGCTAAACATTTTTTTTTCTTTCCTTCTTCCTCTTCTTTTTTTATCAACGCCAAGTTGTTCTTCGTTTAAGGCTGGATTACTCCGCGTGAATTACTATGAGAAAATTTGCAAGCGACCCTTTGCCAATTAATTCGAGATTATATTTATACGAGAGAAAAAAAACTATTTGAAATATCCACGAGAGAATTTGTTTGAGATTTTTAATATTTCTTCCCAAACACCGAGATATAAATAGATCACCTGTTGTGATGCGTGATATAATTCAATGTAATGCGATGCATCAATGAAAGATGGCCTTATAGGAGATATATTCGCGATACATTCATTCTTTTAAGGCAATCGTTGGCCGAGCTGTCCCATGCAAATGCCGCTACGACGTGAAGAAATGTCACCGTTCCGACCGGACGCGCTTAAGCGTAAACGCAGTTGGGTACACGTATCGATTACGAAGGAGAGCGAATCGATATCGGTGACTCGGATAACGAACGTAAAGTTACGAAATTAAATATTCGTATGGTATCTACAAACACTGCACCGAAAAGTTATCTCGTTAGTTGCTCGCTGAATTTGATGCGTCAATGATCTTTCAAAGGCCTTCTAAAAAGTCGAAAAAAACTAATAGGTTTAATCAATTTCGAATCAATTTATCCCTTAGCAAGATTTAATCGAGCTTCCTCTTTCTCTCCCTCTCTCTCCTTCTTTACATGCTTCTCATTTTGAATTTTTTTATTATCAACCCTAACAGCGCAGTAAAATTTACTCGACGCATTAAATACAAGCGGTAAGATCTTGTTCGGAAAATATCACAGCGCTTTGAAGAGAATCTCGTCGCAAAAAGACCGACAAAAAAAAGCGCGGCAGCTTTGATAGACTGCGGCGATGTAATAATATTAAAAACGCAAAAACCGGCTTGTGTAAATGAAATTACGTACGTGTACCGAAAAATGCGTTAGTTGCAATAATCACGTGGGGCTTTTAGGACGCGTCGCGCATGAGATGCGTCTCGCTTTGAAGCGTGAAAACTGGGACAATTTCCGGGCGCGGTGCTCCGCTCGATTATTAATGGAGATCCAAAGAAACGAGCGATACCGATCGTCCCTCTTTCTCTCTCTCGCTCAAGGGGACTCGTGATAAATAAAACGCTTTCTCTCTCGCTCTGTCGAAAGAGAAAAGAAGAAAGAAGGAGGGAGAGACTCGCCGACGACCGCCTGTTTCGCATTCATTTTTGGCCATCCCTGCATTCATTTTCCAACCATTCATTCCACAGTCCTCGTCAAAAAAACGTCCAGTGTCAATAGAGCATATTCATTCGCACCTGAGCGACCTGCTTTGCGGATTCATGAATAAGTTACCTATGATCTGTTTGGACGCCGACGCGTCTCCTTATGATGCCATTAAACTTTCCTCGCGCCGTTAATAATTCGCGCATTAATTATTGTCCGTCTCTCGTCGTTCGCAGCGCTTCGTTTGACGCCAAAGTTTTAAACGAGTCCTCGAGCACAAGCGGCGATTCCTGTTTATCAAGTTGGAGAATTAAGAGCGAACGTAGAATCAGGCAGGGCTGCGCTAAACAACGGCATATTCCGCAAAACATCGGATTTCGAGCGAGCCCGCATCTCACAATGAGAGATAAACATTAAAGAGAGAAGGGGCGATATATTTTCTGAAAACGTCGGGCTTTTTAAATCTAATTGCTTGTAAGAGGAATACGTTAATCGCGAAATTATAATGCGAAAAAAAAAGTCGCGTGGCGAGACGGAAAAGGAGATTTTTTTCGTTCGCAAAATTGGAGAATCTTATATACAGGTACGAGTACCACGAGAGTGCCCAGCTACACTCGTATGTCGAGTCGTCGCACTTCAAGTCCCCTCTGTCTCTCTCTCCTTCTCTCTCGTTCTCTCTTGTCTACACACAAGTCCTTATATATGCCATGCATCCCTCTCGTGTCATGTTAGAAACGCGCAAAGGAGGAGAGGATGGCAGGCAGGAGAAGAGAGACAGCGAGATGCAGAGATGCGAGGCAAGAGAGGAGGAAAGGAGGGAGAAGGCGAAATTCAGTGAAAAAAGAAAAGAGAGAGACGGAGAGAGAGAGAGGGATCTGGCCTCTGTCGAGGCGCTGCATACCGAGGACTGGAAAACGCATTGTTTAGGCTGCACTCACACCGGTTCGGGATGGGTGTGTCGCGAGCGTGAAATACCGACGAAGTGACTTGACTCTTTCTCTCTCTCTCTCTCTCTCTCTTTCTCCTTCTCCCTCTTTCTCTCGGAATCGAGCGGAATGGAGCCTGACTTGGACCAGGTGCTCGTATTTGATCGACTCTATCGATGATTCGGAGATGCACTCTCCGCGAATTGGATTTCATCGGTCTCTCGCACTCTTCTCGCGGTGCATTTCAAATTAAGCCGCACTTGATCGCAAAAGCCAAAGACCGTATAATCGCCCACATCTCTACGTCGAAGCGAAACGTATTCGTGCAATTTTTTAGAAAAAAATGAAACTCGTCAAATATAATAATTTTGTTGGCCAATAGCTTTCGCAAATTTCTTTTTTTTTCTCTTGTAGAATAAAATAATTAAAATTGAAGTAGAGCATTTTGAAATCTCTTCTGGAGCATTTTCAAATCTCTTCTGCGATTATGATGGAGTTATCTTTTCCAAAAAGATCATTGGTGAATAAATATTCCATTGTACATACGCAATGTCATTAAATTCGATAGATAATAAATTATAAAGAAAATTCCTCCGCATAATGATTTAATAATGAGTACCACATCAGCTGATAAAAAGAGAAAGTAACGCGCGCAGTTGCCAGAATATATTACATTATAAAATGAAAAAAATTGAGAGAAATACATACTTGTAAAGAAATACATACTTGTTATTTCGGAGCGCTATATCTTTGTATCTTTTACTAACCGGAGAGATTCTGTTCAGTCTTGCGAAACCTCGCGTTAAGTACGTTTATGGCGACATCCAGCGGACATTGGCTGAATTTATGCTTTTCTATCAGGGTAAAGCAGAACTCGCGCGATTATAGATTCGAATAATCCAAATAATTGTCTCTCGTTAAACACTTGCCGCTTGAAGCACAAGTGCGTGCTTGCAGAGCCGATAAAATATTATAATCGAGGAAACTCGCAATTAAAATTCAAACATTCAAACTAGCTCTTAAAAATGCTAATTTTGCCAACACTCGATCAAATCTCTATCAGACAGTTTTTGTCACTTAATCATCCTGTTTTCAGCGCGAGGAATCGGCCCGTCAATTGTCACGATCGAGTAAATGAACGACAAGTTAACAAGCAGATAAAAAAACTTTATATCGAATCGTAAGGATAAATTATAAGGATAAATCGCGCGTTGATCGTGCGACAAAATTCAATGGACCTATCTATATATAAAGGACTACAATGGCGAAAAGCGCGATTCGAAGAGGAGCATAAGAGCTCGACTCTCTTAAAACTCGCGCACTTGCAGTTCAAAGTACTTACCTGCAAATTGGTTCGTCTCGCTCGTCCGGTGGATTCAGGAAATTGCCGTCGTTCACCGCCGAAGATGTCGATCCCCGCGGCGACCTCGGGCCGCCCTCCGGTTCGCCGATCAGCACTTCTGTCCGACCATTTTGGAAAGGGCTGCTAGCGCGACGTTCGCCGATTCTTGCGCCCTGCACTGGTTGCTGTCGAGCAAACAAGTAGTTTTATATATTTTTTTAAAGTGGCACTCAAGATTAATCCGAACTTATCGCGTCTCGTTCCTTCGAATCATCAATTTGGAATTTTTGGAGCAGATATCTCCTTAACGATATTATCTCTTTAACAATATTATTTCATTACGTGTCTCGTTTGTGTGCATGTGTGTGTGTTGAATATTTTTGTAATGGCAATGCGTATAAATCTCAATACTGATTATTAATGTATTAAAATATATATAATACAATATTACTTAACGATATGCTCAGATTTAATTTTATTTTAAATGTTTATAAGGAAATTTTTGAAAAAAACGATACCGCGATTGAAGCTCGATCGTTAATTCAAAGAGACATTCCGTGAAACATAAATAACAGTAGCTCGCGACTCTTGTGAGAAGACTCCCATTAACGTGCCTAACGTTGGCAATTAAGCAGGATAAACTACCGATGCCGTTTTACTTTCCGGGAACTCTTTAATAATCACTTAAGAAATCCACAACGGATGTTACTTATGTAAGCGACGCGCGATCGGTACCAATGTAATGTAGTGTTGAAACAAATGTCTGTCTAAAAATCTATAATTATAATATAATTATAATATAATTAAATATAACATTATATCAGTAATTTGTATTGCAATTATTATTATATGTAATATGAGAAATGTATATAATCAATGTATATATAAATAGTAAACTGTACATATGCCTCTGATTATTTATATTAGGAAATCTAGCATAATCTAGAATCTATTTAATAATGTTATATGTTATATTATTATTACTATAAAGTGTGCTATTATAAATAATAACATAAAAATATTTCATTATTCTTAAATTATTATCTTTAATATTCTCACATTTATATGTATACGAGTTTGAGTAAAAAAATGGAATATTTCGGAAATAAATTTTTTCAAATATAATTTCATTTATATTTACTTAAAGATTACATAAGAGAGGATCAGTACTTACCAAGAGATTCGCCTCTTCGTAGCTATGTTGCTTTTCCAAAACGTCCTTCCGCTCCTGCGAAACGTGTTCCACTCGAATGTCTGCCTCTTTCGTTAATCCTTTAGGAATCGTACCGTTGCTAAGTTTCGTAGAGAAAGCATTCGTGCTGCTCAATTCCCTGAAAAACAATTAAGACAGGATTGAATTAATTTAAAACCCCTAATATATACAAGAGAATCCTCTAAATGTATAAAATGTAGCTATAAAATAAAATATCTTCCGCCTTTCCGTGTTCAAAATAAAAATGGGGAAACATGTGCGTCAGCATTGCGAAGAGATATCAATCGCGACAATCGTAATTTGTCATATCCGGTCTCCGACGATGCCTCCTATATATATATCGTGCATATTTTCCCTGATTTTACAACCGATGATTTATTACGCTTTGACAAAAAACATCCCAGAGGGTCATTATGCCTTTAGAAATTAATTATAAGTATAACGAGTCTGCAAAGCAAAACATTATACCGCACGTTCGATACGAATAGTATTTTTTTCGAATAATTAATCGCAGCATCTGGATCCTCATTTGTTTATTACCTTCAAGTTTAAAAAAATTTTATAAGAAATCGCATCCCGAAGTTTATATTCTCGAATCTACGTTATTGAAAATAATAATTATTTCTAAAAAAAATTTAAATAGTAATAATATAAAGAAATAGACTAGACTTACTTGTCTGCCAAAGTAACCGTAATTTGGCCATTCGTCACGTCTTTTGCAGCGGAATCCTCGCTCGTAGACGCTACGGCATCGTTTATCTGAAACATTTTCGTCAAACATACACACATTAGCTGGAAAATCAATTTATGGAGAGCCGACCGATTGCACAGCGATGCGTTTGTCTCGATAATACTAGATCCACTATATTATATCTCATGCGAATTTTGCACGAGAAAGCTACATCCGCGGCAAATAATAAATCCATCGTGATTGCGTTTTGTTTTTATGTAGCCACGCGATGATTAAAAATTTAATCGAATGTAGAATTATATATCGCCATCACGTGATGGTAATATGGCGTAGCATTCAATTTAGCTTTATGAAAAACGACAGAAGCCGGATAGCACGGTTTCACTTCGTTTTCGTGTCGCGCGTGCTTCCGCATTTCTGGGAAAAAAACGCAATCTCCGCATTTATTTCCACCTTCGATGCGTAACATATAATTCGCAACACATTGAACCGCGTGTGCTTGTAAACTTACATTGAACTTTGTGTTGGGGTTCAAAGAATCAATACTGATTTTAGTAAAAATTAGTATTCTCCATAAATGCAATCGTAAAAGGAGATAATCGTCGACGTGTCATTATATAAAACCCTGAACCGGTCGGTAAAGTTTAATGATAAACAGATTGCATGTGGATTCCAGGCCAATGTCATGATGATATCGTCACGAAAAAGGAATGTCAACAGCTCCTTTCTCGTAACATTCTTCCCTCACACATTTATATACATATCAACGTATAAAATGTCGTTTTCAATTTTTTCTAATAATTATTTCTAATAATAAAAAATTAATTCTAATAATAAAATTTAAAATGTGTGAGAGAGGGAAAAATTAAATGAATAATTTTTTGTTTTCTTGCCACTTCTCTCAATCGAATAATAAATATTGTTATTGATCGCATTTTATGCTATTGTATCACTAAAATTTTAGTTACCCAATTATTTGTACATTGTCGAAAGTTTAAAAGTACGATGGTAATTCTGAAGTTCTATATATACATATGTAGTTTAACATAGATACACGCGTGTAGAAGTGTCCGATTAAAATTTGTCTTTCTTTTAAAAATCCCAGTCTGAATATTAAGCGTCTCCTTCTAGTATCATCCTAATATAACGTCGAGAAAAAAATTGATGCGGTGGAATAACCGAACAATTTCCCAAATGATACCGCCATCACGTCGACGAATTAATCCGAGATTCCGTTATTTCTTGCGCACCTTTCATTTAACTGAGTTATCGTGTTATTAATATGAAAAAAGGCCATGCTATGCCGATAGCAATAAGCCGCCAATATAAGCGTTGGATTATAATATCGAGAAAACTTGTTAACGATTATCGTCGTGTATTACGATATCCTTCGTGCGATTTCTTGATTCGAGAAATGTATTTCGCGCGAGAACTCGTTGCGTTGCTTACCTGTTTATACGAGATTTTAAACCCGCATGCCGTATCGCAATCACGCGCGAAATAATCCCGCATACTACCCTAAAATAGATCTCGATCGGAACGCAGTTAATAATTAACAATGCGCGGAATTTTTTTCAGCCTTCTATCGGTAGCGATACCTCATTTCCCCTTCACTCTAAAAAAAAATAAATAAAAAAGCAATTTTACCCAATATTTGTAAACATGATCTTATATTTATTTACAAAAAAATGCGAATATATCGAGGGAGATGAAATTTTTTTCCATATTTATAAAACACGCGCATGAAGAATGTTACGCGTTTGTAGTATGGAAATTAATTTATCTAAATAATATCGGCCCCTTCCCGATCAAAATTACGGTACTCTCAAAGCGTGACAGCAATATTTAACAATTCAATTTGATCAGCATCTGGTATCGGTGCATTTCAAGCAGCTCTCGTAGAAACGATGCTATATTGTTCTCTTCTTTTTTTCTATGGAACGCGGTCATCGGCGATCCGAAAAAACTCATTATTGCGTAATCGTAAAGCGTTGTTCGAGGGGAATTCGGACGCGCGCGAGCTATGTAACCAGGGAGAGAAACGGGCACATAACGTAGGCTCCAGCAAACGCTCTCGCGTGTAAACAAGGCCGCGCATAATCGCCGTTCCCGCCGCCGCTCACTCCGCTCATTTACTTTGCATTCCGCATTTCATAAGCAGCCTCCGCGCGTAACGATTTCGCTCGCGGCCAATCGATTCATTTGCACGCAGCCGCGGCCACGCGAGAGCGGAATAAGAATCGGCCCGGATGACGGAAGCGCCGGGAATGCGACGTCGCTCTTAAAGCGCTTCTCCGTCCGTTGTTTGCGCCTACGACCAGAATTGTACTCAGCATTTCCATCAACGAATTAATGTCAACGTATTTCAAATGTTATTACTTTTAAGATTGTTGAGAGTAAAGAATTATAAAGGATCTAAAGCGCCAGATGTAACAGAAAATTTATCGAGAAACTATCCTATTATTCTTTTAAACATTTTGAAATCTTATAAACAAAATCACCGCGTGAGAAGACAATAATTTAGTAGGAGGATAATGAAAAATCACATTTACTTGAAATGATGATTTTAAAAAGCTAATTTTGATATAAAAGTGATTTTTTTTTATCCAATAAGAGAGAGGGAGAGGTATACAAGATCATATCTCGTGGAGCCATCGAATCGCTCCAACGCGATATTAATAAGCTATTCGACTAATTATGTGTCCCACGCTCTCGCGTACCTGCTGATGTAAAATGGCCTGGATATCGCGCGGCTGGATCTTCTTCAGTGCCGTCAGTTTCTGCAACCTCTCTCGCGCGCTCCTGCAAACAGAGGAAACCGTTTGTAAAAGCCATGTCGCTATGTTTATCCTTGTGCAAAGGCGAATGAGATACTAGAATGAGGAGAGTGAGTCACGAGAGAGACAATTCTTATCGGTATAGACGACAGTGTTTTCTATTCGCCGCTTCTTTTTCTTTTTCTCTCTTGAGAAACGCATGCAAATGCAACTGCGTTTGCAAATTGCGACTGTTGTTGAAATCTAATTTGTAACATTAACAAGACAAGATAAGAGAGAGATAGAGAAAGAGATTATCTATTTCTATTAAAAATACTTTCTCGGAAAATAATGGTCCGAGTAATCAGGAACAATTTAACGTAATATGTGTGAGCGCAATTTTTAAATAAAATACACATATATATATAAATGAAGATTTTCGTGACTGAAATAAATTGTACCTTTGAGCGATTAAAGTATTCGAGAAAAAGATACAAAAAGAAGTAACCGCGCAAAATTGATTCCGTCATATTATTGTCATTAACATCGAGATACCTCCCATTGATGTCGGTATTAAAATATTTGTATAAAAGGAAATGACTGGATCGATTCCAAATGGCGAAGAAATATTAAAAAAGAGAGAAAGAGAGAGAGAAAAAAATAGAGAAATGAAAGAGAAATATCTGAAAATACGAACTTTTCCTGATTTCGCGATATCTCATCACGGACTGTCATTATCGACTCGATTGAAACGCGTACTTCCGTGGGATTCTCGTGACATTTAGATGACGCATTCTCGCGTTCGATCAAAAACACATATTCGCCCGCCGGACATCACCGCCTTTTATGTGACATTTAATCGATACACACGATTCCGCGCCCCGACAGGAATGTATTATATTTGCTAGAAGCAGGGCACATTTATTAGAGATTTCCCGCTTCGCACGCGTGTATTCGCTTGTATACCTAAGAGATCGTGTGTATTCTATAAGCCGTTATATCGCCAAGATATCGACAAGATGATCTTTACCATTATCGAGGCGATCGCTCATTATCTCACCTTTCGACGGCGATAACCCAGGCGTCTCGTATCCGCCCAGCGTTTGGCCCGTCCAGCTCTTCTGTCGGGAATTCACGAAGGAATTATTAATTAATTAGACAAATTTATCACGTATTTAACACGTTTGTCAAAGAATCCATTACCAGGCCGCGGTTAAACACCGGCGGCCGTGCAAGGGAGAAAAGCAGAGATAAGTGAAGCGCATATCGCGAACCTGACGAATTCCCTTCGTTTCTCATTTATATCGCGCGACATAAGCCGTGACAATCGTGTGATTCCATTATTAATTTAACATCTCCCTCCGTCCGCGCGGACGGTGGTTCCCTTTTTTTTTCTTTTATCGCACGAGTGTTTTTACATCCATCGTCGGTCGTAATCTGACCGTCATTCTTCTCGGTAAAATATCGGTAAAAACATTTCCACGCGAGTTTAATCTCCCCGATACGTGACGGGCTAAATTCGTTGCGTTGCGCTGCGAAAACTTTGTTATACGCGCGCAAAGTCCACGCTGTCCTCGTAATTTTTTGCCCATCAGTTATTTATACATCCTCCCTCAGCGGGGAATAACTACGGACCTACCGTGTGTATATCAACCCACTTTTCTATAAAAAAAGAATAATCTGATCGATCGCCGGCTACCGTTCTTAGTGGATGGCTCGTCTTCGTCGGCTTCCTCGTCGTCGTCGATGAATTTTATATCGGACAGATCAAAATGCCTCGCCAGGTCTTCGATTTCCGTCTTGCAACTCTTTGGGAATTCCGCGAATTTCGGGGGATCATCGACGATCGATTCGTCGACGACGATTGAACGACTATCGGGACCCGAACGCGTCGAGCAACCACAAAAGACTAACTTGCGAAAGAATTTCGACATATTCGATGTATTGAGCGTAAACAAACAATTTTTACCGAGCATAAAAAACTGTTATTTTGTGCTCACAGCTCGATTCTCTCGCAGCTACGCTTATTTTTTTTATCGGCATTGAGCTACATTGATTTAAATTTATTTTTAATAATATTCTATTTATAAAGGCATCTAGTTCGATCATAAATACACACGTCCTACGAAAGGACGAAATATGAGGAAATAAAAAACAACTCAAAGTGTTTATATTTTTTATAGTACATATACATATATCTCGTGTAAAATAACTAATATTTAAAAATCTCAATTTACTCGCAATCCATTTTTCATTTTTCTAATTTTAAGTGAAATCAAATTTAACGTTAAATTTTTGTAAATTTCATAACACGAGTAACATATAAATGTCATCTACTGTTCACTTTCCTTTAACGTAGCGACATTTCAAAAGTCATAATTAGCAATCTGGTCAATTTATCGGTTACACTGGCTGCAATCGATTGGCTGACTTGTTAACGATATTCGGAAACTGATAGCAACACAGTTGTGAATGAAAGACTCGCTCTTCGAGAAGCTCCCCGAAAGCTTTTCTGAAAGAGAACGGTATTCGCGTGTGCACGTGTGTCACGAAACTAGAAAATAAACTCTTCACCGCAGCCGGCGACTGAGAATGGATAGCACAGACGCATTCACGAAGGAGTTTATATTTGGAACTACATGCTGGCACAGACGATAAAAATTGACGGAGAGCGCCAGTTCAACGTACCTCGATACAGCGCGGACAAAAACGGAAATGTGTAAAAATTGGCGAAAATCTAAGCCGTCGTCGAAAAATTTTCGCGAGAATCGAAGCGAGAAACGCGCAAGATTGATGGCGTGCTAGACTGTTCTTAAATTCCTAAAACGTGTAGAACCGTTCCTACGTCTCACATCAGTCTTTTTGTTATCAGTTGATACGATCCCGACCTGGTTTCCTCGCAATCCGCTTTGGTGCGAATAGAGAAGCTGATTAAATATACGCCTGGCACTTTTCTTCCAAAGAGATCGCGAGACACTTTTATTCTCGACCATTACGGAATTCGTGGATAAAAATTCAAATTTTATCCTTCATGCTTGTGCGAGAGTAAAATGGTTGCGAAAAAAAAAAAACGAAAAAAATAAAACAGATAAACCGATTCCTCAAATCACAGGCAGGATACGAGAAGAGCAATCGATATTGTTTTTTCTGCATCGAGCCAATTGATCGAATTAAATTTTGCAAAATATTTATTCGGCTATATAAACCCTTTATTTTGCCCAATCGCCTGCAGTTTGATAGTTATTCGTTTACGCACATTGTACATATACATTCAACGCGATATTTCGCACACATGCATTTCGTTCATTGTCTCGTATACAGCTAGTGTGCGAGCCGTAATTGCATATCATAATCGAAACGCCCCAGATCAAGTAAGTCTCCGTGAAGCTTTTCGTGTCACTAGCTGCATACATTGCCTTAAAGCCTTTTGTGCTCCGTTGAACGGCGAAGAAAATTCGCAACAATGTCCCGATTCCTTTTCAAAATGTTCTGGCGTATCTCCAAAACGTATTCGGATATGGCACGGTAATTTGGAGAAAGTTTGTTTTCATCCAAAAGCACACACCTCGTTTTCCTATTCCACTTTCATTGTAAAACGCTTCTGATAGCGACGAACGTGGTATAAGCACATGTGCAACGTTCAGGCTCTTTGTAGAATTTCTTTTCTGAGCGATAAATTGCTAGAAAATTTTGATGTGAATAATGGCAGCAGTTAACAGCTATTATTTGAATTGATTGTTACTTCAATGAGAGATGTTATTTAATTTCGACATTGATTCTTTCATTTCGATGATATCGGTTAATGTTCTATTCAGTAATTTATTCATTAAAGCTTTGGATAATTCACAATTCACTATAAAATTCAAGACGGAAATTTTTTGATACATCAACAGCAATTAACGCTCATTATTTGAATAACTTGATAATTAATAAGTTGTCTATAAAGTGGATCTCAAAATTCTATTTAATTAAAACTCGATAAAAATCAAAAGAAACGTTGGAAACAGTCTGCGTGTGTAGAAATACACGGGATATAAATCGCATGCATAATTACGACAATAACATTATCCATAATTGTTGTGCAATTATAGTAATAATGATGTTGCTATAAATTGATTACAAATTAATAACATATGAAATTAGTACACAAAATATTCTACTGACGATAATTCATCGTTGACAGCTATCTAATTCACGTCCCGTGTTTACAATAAGGCAATCGCGTATGAATACAGCAAATAGAATTTAGATCCAAATTGCATTTAGCGCCATAAATGCGGAGGCGCGAATACGGGAGATAAGACGATGAGAGGAAGAGAGAGAGAGAGAGAGAACTGAGACATCTATTATACGTTTGCAAATTCGGCAACGCGGTAAATTCAGGTCAAGCAACGCGTTGCCGTGATATCAACGTTGTCCGGGATAGTCTCGTCAAACGGTCCGGAGGAATCTACTTCGTTGGAACGGTAACTGGATGCTCGCGCATATGTCGTATACAGTATACATATGTATATACATGTACATGTATACAGCACACGATGGCGTCGATCAACCATGTTACGTTATAAGTAGGCTTTACCCGAGCCAACCGGGGCCAAACCGCTTCCCGAAAGATACCGCGAGTTTAATAGTCGAAAATAGCGGTGTTGATTTGCAAATAATTACAGCATTAAAGGCAATGCTCGAGAAGCCATAATCCAGTGTTTTCTATCTTTTTCGAGAAAACAAATAGCAATTTTTTCTCTCAGAAGTATATAATATAAGGAGCAGAAATTCGTCTTGTCTTTATTGCAATTTGCAGAAAATTTCATAGTTTGACATTATCAGGATGAACAGAAAAAATAGATGACATCTCTAAGATTCAAACTATTATAAACGCAAATTTAGAAGTTGTGCTTTATACTTGATATTGACTGCGAGTAGAATTGCTCTTAAAATGTATTTAAAAATGATTCTTGCGCTATTTTCATAAATTATAAAGTAATATCCAATTGTATAAGAGAGATATCAAAATAACTCAATTTTTCTATGTAAATCTCATACGAATGCACAATATATAATTTTCTAGATAAAAATACACTACAAGAAACAACTGTACCAGCGCACAAGATGGTCTCGATCATATGATTTGACGCAAAAGGAGGAGAAAACCAGTTTTCTAACTGTATAAGCTTTAATATAATAGTATATAATATATACATATACGTATACATACATATACACACAATAAAGCGCAACCTGCCAAGAACATGTGATCTATGAGTCGCATCATTTCGACTCTGTATATATTATATGGTATATTCAAATTCTATAATTCTTTTTAAATTTTCGATGATCGAAAATAATTTTATTATAAGAAAAGATCCAAATATTTTAAATCTTGCAAAATTTTCACAACATTTTATTTGCATATTCTCTCTTGCAAATATATAGCACAATCAAATTTGCACATATAACAATATATAATCGAAAAAGATTATTATAATTTGATTGTAATTGGAAATTTTTAATCCTTTTAGATATGCTACTTTAATTAAAAATTTAATATTAGCACAGATCGTAAATAAAGAATATCAAATTTTAATTATGTAAACAATTAAGATAAAAAATAGACATGCATCAATTCTAATAACTATGGTTTCTTTTAACAAATAGTTGAAAACACAAACTATACATAGTGAATATTTATGATGTTATGAGTCATTTCTAAGAAAAATGTATGCAAGTTTTACAGACAAGGAAGAATTAGTCATCTCTTTTTCCTGGTCGTCTTCTTGATAATCAATTTTCTATATCCTCACGTTTCAAATATAATGTTGTCGTTTTAATATTTAACTTTTACAATAATATGTAATGTAACATATATTAATACCTGAATAGAATAGAATTTAATATATAAAATGTACTTAATCTCTTCGCGGCGAAACGACTTGGAACGAAAGGCATCGCTCAAGATCAAATTAAAGGTAATGGAGAAACAATCGCTAACGGTTCGCTGATTTTTACGAGCTCGATAACTGTTTTCCGGGATGTAACATGTAACTACATCGAATCAATCAGGGATTGCGATCTCAATCGCATGCGACTGTCAGCCAAATTCTCATTAAACTATGCGCGTTAC